TCCGAAGTCGTCTGCCATAGTAGTTGTCATGATTCCCAGCATCTGACAGTGAACTTGGTACATTCTCAAAGGTTTCGCCGCCATCGTGGTCGGCATCATCAGTGAGCCTTGCCATTCTCCGCACCAAGATACGAACTCGACAAAGAGACAAGTGATGTCAATCCCTCGACAAACCATTCTGCTGGAAACGGTTACACTATCACTCCTCTTTCTGCCATTGTCTATCTATCTACTCGTTACCCTCTTATCCCACTGCCGTCCTATCACAACTTCTTATTTCAATCATCCACATGTGTGCCCTTTGTGGCAAACCTAGTGTGGCCTCATCGAGCAGGCCACTGTCAGATGCTGGGAATCAAGACAACTACTATGGCAGACGACTTCGGACTCGGTGCGTTCTACATAATCTCCCTAAACACAAGACCAAGTTGCGACAACGAGGTCAACCCACTTCTATAAGTCGAAAGGAGACTGTGACCATACCTGAAGCCACAACATCTTGGTTTTCACATCTTAAATTTATTATTCATGTTATTTGGCAAACGGAGGCTATTTGTCTTTCGTCATCTTATGCGATCTGGGAAGTTTATAATATCATAATAATAGTAAGGATAAAATTATTATTAGTATTATACATTGAAAATTCGCTTTTATCAATTAAAATCAGAATTTTTAAGGGCGAAACTGACTTACCGAAGCCAACTAGTCCCAAGGTCTGGCCTCGTAGGGCTCGAAGTCCTTGCCAGCTCCGATCAGCCCATACACTTGTTTGATCGGCTGCGTTTAAGCTTCTCAAAAGCACCGCTGACTCACCACTCGTCTGGTAGCAGGTCGGATCGGCTGAGTGTGGTCGCTCCGGTGGCTCCTTGTCGAGGCTCTTCGTTGGAGGCGGAAACTGACTCCCATTGTCTGGTTGGCCTAGCAACTCGTGGGTCTCAGCCGCGTGTGCTTGGCGGGTCGAGGATTGAGGCCTAAACCGAAGTGTTGGCTGAGCCTGCATCAACCGGTGCTGGTGTTGGCGATGATGACTGTCGAGCAGCAGGCCGAAGGCGAGATTAGCCGACGCCTCTATATCCTCTCCCGGGACCATGTGGACGTATTTGACGTCTGTGGGCCAGAATGAGGTAGAAGAATGTATGGAAAAGGAGGAAAAATATTGGATGCATTATTTGGTGCTATCTAATTTGTACATATTTTCTACATGTCTCCTTTATATATTTATGCTCACAATTGCTCGATATTATGCAATAGGTGCCCTGATAATCCAGTTTGGTCTATTTCTCATGTTGAGTTTGTATGCGTATTCCATGCCTTAATATTGCTCTCAGTTTTCTACTTAATCCACAGGCCAGATGTCGACCCCTATTTTCCCTTATATGACTTTACTGGGGACCTATTAACAGGGAACATTCGAGTCGATTGGTTCAATTCTTGGTCATGTTGTCAGGGCGCTTAGTTAGACGCACCATGTCCGAAGTCCTCTGCCACAGTAGCCATCACATTCTCCAACGTGGATCGTCGACTCGGTACGTGAAGGACTGGTAGTAGAATTTTCCCCCAATGATATGAGTTGAGCTGACGTTTACATTGAATTTTGCACAGCCTTACTTTCCCAAAAGTTGGATGAGAACAACTTTAAACGAAATGGGTTGAATACCTATCATATGACGTTTCGCTGACATCGTCAATGAGACTTACCACTCTCATCACCAAGCGACAACTCGTCAAAGAGTCAAGTGATGACTTGTAGCTTTATGCTGAGACTGGAAAGTCTCACTGACGATGTCAGCGAAACGCCTGGGAATGTATCAAGTCATATGAGATGTATTCAACCTATTTCGTGTAAGGTGATGAAGAACTGGTAGTTGATCTCATCCAACTTTTGGGAAAGTAAGGCTATGCATTCACATAGCCTTGCTTTCCCACCCTGGATGAGAACAACTTTTGGGAAAGCAAGGCTATGTGAAATTCAAAGGTCAAAACTGCAGTCCACCCAGGATGAGAACAACTTTTGGGAAAGCAAGGCTATGTGAAATTCAAAGAGGTCGAAACTGCAGTCCACCCTGGATGAGAACAACTTTTGGGAAAGCAAGGCTATGTGAAATTCAATAGCGAGGTCGAAACTTCAGTCCACCCAGGATGAGAATAACTTTTGGGAAAGCAAGGCTATGTGAAATTCAATGTCCAATGCGAGGTCGAAACTGCAGTCCACCCAGGATGAGAACAACTTTTGGGAAAGTAAAGCTATGTGAAAATTCAATGGTACTGCAGTCCACTCAAGCCGGGATGAGAACAACTTTTGGGAAAGCAAGGCTATGTGAAATTCAATGGAGACCTGCAGTCCACTGGTGCCTGAATGAGAACAACTTTTGGGAAAGCAAGGCTATGTGAAATTCAATGGAAGGAAACTGCAGTCCACCCAGGATTAGAACAACTTTTGGGAAAGCAAGGCTATGTGAAATTCAATGGAAAACGCCAGCTCAACTCATATCATTGTGGGAAAATTCTACTACCAGTCCTTCATCACCTTACACGAAATAGGGTGATTACATCTCATATTACTGATTTACTGGTAGTCTCTAAACTCTATTTACATACGAAAAATGTATCAAGTCCACAGTCCGACTGTGGAAATTGTCATGCATACTATTGACTTCGGACTTCGGCTTCTCCTTCCAATATGACCAAGTTGCGAAAACGAGGTCAAATAATTTTAGAGTGACCTTCATTTCGTATGAAAGTGCATGAAGAAGAGATTCGCTGGTCGATCTCACCAGATGAGGACGGATG